GAGAAGCAGCTGGACCAGGTAGCCTTGCTGTGACAGAGAACATGGCTATTGAATTCAGGAAATCAGGGATAATCAGTACAATGGTTTGCTTTTCTTTAAATTGTCAAAACATCAATTCCCTGAGTACCTTTTGCCTGACTGCTGTCATTAAGAAAAACAAAATTAAAGAAGACTTTGTGTGTACAAAATTGAGAAGGGGACCAGGGATTTGTCTTTCTGTACTATTTCTTCTGATCTTCCCACAATATCTTTATCCTCATCGGACCCCTACCCTTCATCAGTAAACTGCAGGCAGCTAGGGCTCTCACTCCCCTCCCCCTGCTCCCCCACAGTATAGAGAGCATCTCTTAAACTTGGCCTTTTCTTCTAATACCTACCTGACAGTCTTATGTTCTGTCCTGGAGGACTACTGTACTCTCTGATTTTGCAATGGATAATAATTATTAGAGGAGCCAATGCCTCTATAGTGTTACCCAATGTGTTGTCCCTTATAACAGCTCTTTGGAAAATGCTTATGTAGTACTGAAAATTTAAAGTACAGTGCTAGGCTGACTTTTTGGACAGGGGGCTCTTTGGCGTTCATCTGAATCATATGGGCAGCTCATCCTGTCGTGATGCCAACAGTTCTCAAACTTTGTGGTCTCAGGCCCCTATTACACTCTTAAAATTCGAGCGAGATTTCTGGTCTGGAAAAAGATGGTGTAGACCAGTTTCTCTTTGCTTCTCCCTGCTAAGAATAAGTATAAACCTCCCCTGAAAATAATGCAAAAGACAACCAAGGGAGAACTCTGAAAGCTGATTTTTAAAAAGTCTTGGGAACCTACGAACAACAGAGAGGCAAGGCGTCTTGTTTCTCTTTACCCAACAGAAGCGAACCCAAACCTGGTATTTCCTGATCCTAACCCAGTAATAGAGGGCAGCCCACAGGAAGGCTCATTCTTCCCCCATACAGAATGTGAGTCCCTCTGACAACAGATGAGCCCAACACCACTGGCAAGGGGTAATCATCAGGAGTCCCACCGACAATAGTAGACAAAGGAAGACTTCTCCTTCCCCACTGGGCCTGAAATGCCCTACTTTCTCGTAGAGATACTAAGGTGGCAGGGTGGAGCAGACAAGAGGGATGAAGCCACAGCAGTGCCTGGTTCTGGAAGCCTATTTCTCTGGATCTGAGATTCTCCTCTCCCCCACTAGGAGCGCCCCACCTTACTGATCCCCACCGAGAAACCCCTAGCAGCCTGACTTGGGGAAACCCTTCCACCCTCTCAGGCAACAAAATCAGGGATAAATGGAAGCTCTAGTGACACCAGATATAGCTTTGCCATACCATAGCTTTATAGGAGGTCTGGAAGTTAGGTCATGTCAGTCCTTCAACTTTGTTCTTCTCCTTCAATATTGTGGTGGCTATTTTGGGTCTTTTGCCTTGCCATATAAACTTTAGAATAAATTTGTCAATATCCACAAAAGAATTTGCTGGGATTTTGATTGGGGCTACATTCAATCTATAGATTAAGTTGAGAAGAACTGACATCTTGACAATATTGAGTCCTGCTATCCATAAGCTTGTAATATCTCTCCATTAATTTAGTTTTTTTCTTTGATTTCTTTCATCATTGTTTTTTAGTATTCCTCATAGAGATCCTGTTAGATTTATACTTAAGTATTTCATTGGGGGGGTGCTAATGTAAATAGTATTGTGTTTTTAATGTCAAACTCCACTTGTTCATTGTTGGTATATAGGAAAACAATACACTTTTGTACGTTAATTTTGTATTCTGAAAACTTGCTATAGCACTTATTAGTTCCAGGAGTTTTGTGTTGGTTCTTTTGGATTTTCTACATTGGCAATCATGTTATCTATCATTTCCTTCACAATCCGTATATCTTTTGTTTCATTTTTGTGTCTTACTGCATTAACTAAGACTTCAAGTATGAGATTGAAAAAGGAGTAATAAGAGGGACATCCTTGGCTTCTTCCTGATCTTAGTAGGAAAGCTTCTAGTTTTTCAGTATTAAGTAGGATGCTAGCTGTAGGTTTTTTATAGATGTTTTTTATCAAGTTGAGTAAGTTTCCCTCAATTCCAATTTATTGAGAGTTTTTATCATGAATTGGTGTTAGATTTTGTCAAATGCTTTCCTGCATATATTACTATGATCACATGATTTTTTCCCCTCTTTACCCTGTTGCTGTGATGGATTATATTAATTGATTTTCAAGTGTTGAACCAGCCTTGCACACCTGGGATGAATCCCACTTGGTCGTGGTGTAGAATTTTTTTTATACATTGTTGGGTTTGATTTGCTATTATTTTGTTGAGGATATTAGTATCTATGTTCAGGAGAGATATTTGATTTCTTTTCTTGTAATGTCTTTGTTTGGTTTTAGCATTAGGGTGATGGTGCCATCACAGGATGAGTTTGGAAGTATTCCCTATGTTCTATCTTCTGAAATAAGTTGTAGAGAACTGGCATAATTTCTTCCTTAAATACTTGGTAGAATTTATAAATGGACCCATGTGGGCCTGGCACTTTCTCTTTTGGAAAGTTATTAATTATTGATTCAATTTCTTAAATAGGTAAAGAATAGATACAGGCCTATTCATATTGTCTACTTCTTCTTGTGTGAATTTTGGCAGATTGTGCCTTTCAAGGATCTGGTTCATCTCATCCAGGTTATTGAATTTGTGGGCATGAAGTTGTTCTTTGTGTTTCTTTATTATCTTTTTTGATGTCCATGGAATCTCTAGTAATGGCCCTCTTTCATTTCTGATATTAGTAATTTGTGTCCTCTGTATTTTTTTCTTAGTTAGCCTGAGTAGAGTCTTATCAATTTTATTGATCTTTTCAATTAACCAGTTTTGGTTTCATTGGTTTTCTCTATTGATTTCGTGTTTTCAGTTTCGTTGATTCTTGCCTAGTTTTCATTATTTCTTTTCTTCTGCTTACTATAGATTTAATCTGCTCTTTGTTTCTAGTTTCTTAAGGTTTAAGCTTAGATGATTGATTTTAGATCTTTCTTCTTTTCTAATATATGCATTCAATGGTGCAAATTTCACTCTTAGCACTGCTTTTGCTGCATACCACAAATTTTGTTAAGTTGTGTTTTCATTTTCATTTAGTTCAAATTGTTTTTGAATTTCTGTTGATATTTCTTCTTGACCCATTTGTTACTTAGAAGTATGCTATCTAATCTTCATGTATTTTGGGACTTTCCAGTAGTCTTCTTGTTATTGATTTCTACTTTAATTCCATTGTGGTCTGACAACAGACATTGTATGACTTCTATTCTTTTAAATTTGTTAAGGTTTGTTTTATGGCTCAGAACCTGGTTTACCTTGGTGAGCATTCATAGTGTTTTAAAGTATAGAACATTCTACTTTTTAACAGCAGAATGCCCTTTTTCCTCCCAAGCACCCATCCAACATTTACCAGACAGACTATGTGCTTGCCCATAAAACAAACATCAACAAATTTAAAAGAATTGAAACCATACAGTCTATTTTCTGAGCACAATGGAATCAAACTAGAAATCAAGAACAGAAAGACAATAAGAAAGTCTCTAAACACTTGAAAATTATACAACATACTTCTAAATAATCTATGGATTAAAGATGAAGTCTCAAAGGAAATTTTAAAAATATGCTTAGAACTGAAGGAAAATGAAAATATAGTGTGTAGAAATATGTAACATGCAGCTAAAACAGTACTGAGAGAGAAATTTATCACACTAAATGCTTACATTTGAAATTATGAGAAGTCTCAAGTCAATAATGAAGTTTCTACATCAAGGATCTAGAAAAAGAAAAAAAGAAAATAATCCCAAAGCAAGCACAAGAAGGAAATAATAAAGAGCTGAAATCAATGGAATTGAAATAGCAAAATTATAGAGAAAATTCAATGAAGTAAAAATCTGGTTCTTTGGGGAAAATCAGCAAATAAAATTGACAAACTCCTAGCAAGACTGGTAAAAATTAAAAGAGACAGTATGCAAATCATCAGCATCAGAAGTAAAATATGATATATCAATATAGATTCTGCTGCCATTAAAAAATAATAAGAGAATAGTAGATTCACATGCAGCATTAAGAAATAAGACAGAAATCCCATGTAGACTTTACACAGTCCCTCCCCTCATGGTAACATTCTGTGAAACTATAGTGTAATATCACAACCAGGACACTCACACTGATACAATCCACCAACCTTATTCAGATTTCTCCAGTTTTACTTATACTCATGTGTACACATATGTGTATACTCGTATGTATTTAATTCTATACCATTTTCAAGAAAAAATTATTGAGGACCCCAGAGGATTTTTGCAATGTGGGTTATTTCTACCTATATTTACTACATTAGAAAGAAAAACTAAGAAAGAAAAAACAAAAATACACAAGCACTCATTCCATTAACCACCAGAACAATGACATCATTACCTGTCATATAGCTTCTAGAACACTTAATTGTACACTCATAAGAGGATGAGAGTAAAAAAGAAAAATAACATTTTAGTATTATTATGACAATATTTTTTATCTTGTATTAGGGATAGGGTGATAAACTCATCCTGGTTTTCCTGGGACATTTCTGATTTAAGCACTGAAAGTCCTCGCAAAACCAATATGGTTTGCCTGAGACTTACCCAGTTTAAAAACTGAAAGTCCTATATTCCCAAGGGAGCCCCTCAGTTGTGAGAAATCTGTATTGGTTGCTCTCTACACTCACGGACTTTTGTGGGTCTCAGACAACACTCTAAGAACCCCTGTGTAAGGCCATCCTTACACAGAAGAAATTTCCAGTTCAATGCTAGTACCTCACCAGCACACAGGATTTTAGTAACTTTACATTGTAATTTGTTAAAAACCTCCCTACCTCATGCCAGTTGCTTGCTCAGCTTTCCTATATGGTTCATTCAACCTTCTCCTCTTCACCTTGGATTCCACAAATAAGATGTCATTGAAAGTGCTTTGTGAAATGAAAAAGTATCATCACAATATGAGTGTGTACCATTGTCTTTTTTATTATTATCTTTTCAGGTCAAGTTAGTGTGGTGCAAGTGACCATCCCAAAGAGTGTCGTGAATGTCACTGTTGGATCTAATGTCACTCTCGTCTGCACCTACACCACCACTGTGGCCTCTCGGGACATGCTTTCCATCCAGTGGTCATTCTCTCATACGAAGGAGTCACAGCCAATTACCGTAAGAACTTTCTTCCTAAACTATTCCCCTTTAGTAGTTGTGACATAAACTGTTGGAGTCAGTGTATGAAGGACTGGTAAGCCAGTGATAACAGTGGCAGAAACTCAGGTACACAGAGTTTGAAGATAGCGCTTTAGGGAATACCATCATCTAAGTGACTTGGCCTTTGTCCTCTCTTCATATTGAGTTACAACCTGTTATCTCAGTTCTGTGTAAGTCAACATCAGAATTCTATAGTAGACAAGAATGGTCCTTTTCATAGGTAAGTGAGCAGTAGTTGTTGTTTTTTTATTTTATTTTGCAAGATAAGTCTTTTTTTAATTATTTATTTTTTTCAGTCATAGTTGACATTCAATATTATTTTATGTTCATTTCAGATGTATAGCATAGTGGTTAGACAATTATATAATTTATGCAGTGATCACCTCAATTAGTCTAGTACACCCCTGGCACTATGCATAACTGTGGTAACATTATTGACTATATTGTCTATGCTGTACTCTACATCCTTGTGACTATTTTGTAACTACCAATTTGTATTTCTGAAAAGTATATATATATATATAATTTCCCTGCCTATTGTTTCCAGAAGACCCCAGTTCAAATGCATGTCCTAGGTGATCTTCAGATCTCTGTCAAACTTAATATCTGGGACCTGCTTGTCATGTGAGATAGCTCATTGTGCCAGACTGTCCTGGTGGAGAGAGAGTCCCAAGATTAGTGGATAAAGGCCAAGGTAGTGATGAACCTTTGTTAATCAAAGGCAGCAGGAAGCCAGAGGATAGGGGATAGGAAGAGTAGGCTAGGGTCTGGGGGAAGAGGAGGGTGGGTAAAAATCAAAGGAGGAGAATGATTCTACCTGCAAGCTGCCTATTCCTAAATTTTCTCTATTTGGCCTTAAGGGTAATTGAACCTTTAAATAACCCAAGGATTAAAATTGCATATTCAAAAGTGTGTGTGTGTGTGTGTGTGTTTATGAGTATGCAAGCACATATGCCAACACATATTCCCTGAGGGAAAAGGTCTATAGCTTTCATAAGATTTTCAAAAGGATGTATGATCCAAAATAAGGAATTCAGAGAAGAGACAAATCAGTGTAATTTGGAATAGTTGGATGTAGTTGAGTTGGGCTTTGAAGGAAAGGAAGGATTTCGAGTAGAAAGTTAGAAGGAGAGCAAGTTGAGTGGGCTGGAGAAGGCTCAAAGGCAGAGTTGGAAAAAAAGGACATCAACTTGGAGAAGCCACATGTTGGCCAGTGTCACTTCAACCATCACTGATATTTTGGGGGTGCTGAGTCCTTTCTTCACCAGAGGACACTTATTAAGTATGCTACACTGTTCAAGAGGAGATTTCATCAATGCCACCCTCTAGTCAAATTTCAACAATTTTGCTCAGTACTGGTTACCTTAGACAAGTATCTTAATCATTCTGTGCCTCTCTTCAAAATATGGTAGAACAGTAATATTCTTCTATATGTCTCATGGGGAATCAACTGACATATGCATATTATAATATCTGAAAAATAATATAAAGCCCTGTAAGTTTTCCCCCTTATAAACACTACTATCAGCAGCAGCAGCAACAGCAGCAGTGACAACAGTAAGTCCACCAGTGTCCGTCACTCAAAATGTCCTGAGTCAAGACCTCCTATGTTGTGGTCAACTAAGAAATCATCCCTTTCCTTTGCAGGCTGTTCTCTTGGATTGTGGGTGATAATAATTACATGATGTTTCTTCTCATTTAAAAATTTATATTCCTAAGGGCTGGCTGAGTGGCTCAGTTGGTTAAGAGCTTGCTGAAGAGTGCGAGCTCTGAGCAACAGCAATTCGAGTCCCGGCCTGAGCTGAGCTGCCACTGAGCTTCCAACAGGTGGCAGGATGGCTCAGCTAAAAAAAAATGTATATTCCTAACTAGTCTTCTCAATACGTTCTTTTTCTGTAGGCTTAAAGTCCTTCTCATTATGTCAGGAAGGGCTGAATTTAGAGAGGGCTTGTCAATATATTTTGAATTTTTTTAATGCTTAGTGCTCAAATCAAGATGTCTTCAACTGCCTGGAGGCCAGGCCCATCTGAATTAAAAACACAAATTCTTTTTTATGCCTCCTCGAACACTGGAACTTACAAGGCCACCTCTTGGTTGAACTGTGTGGCTGGTGAAGAGCTAGGAGATGCATGGCCAAAGGATCTTTTGACCAGCAATGAGTTTTTCACTAGACCTGGAGATACAGAGGGAGAAGGTGTAGGTGATTGATCTGCGTGTGGCTTGGGCTCAAGACACCTCTTAGAGGCACTTTAGGGAAAAAAATCTATTAACAAATAAGTATTTATTGAATAGCATATTTACTTGCTATTTGTCTCATTCTTCAAAATGTCTGGTACAGGCAGGGCAAATAATTTTAAGGCATCTACTCTTTTGGGGTGTCCAAATCAAAGGAGTTCTTCTGCACTGAGCCACTGGATCAGTAAGAACATGCTCCTTCATCATAAAAGGTCCTAGATCCTTCTCCAAGTGCATGAGACTGATGCTATGCCTGTGGCTTAGCCTCATGGATGACAGAGTAGAGTAGGGCCAGGTCCTGGCTTGGAGACAGTAAAAACCACATCCAAAAAGGCTTCCTCCTCTTTTCCTGTCTTGCTTCGGCTTGCCCCGGAAGATCCCCATTATAACTATGCTTAGGTTTTTAATTCTAGAAACTGGAGTCCGCCCCCCTTTCCCTCATACCCTGCAGGCATGTCTTCTCTCTGCTTTTCTAGATGAGTAATTTTGGAGCCCCAGTGGAAAACCCCTAATGGATGTCAGTTCTACTCCTTGTCCTGTTACTTATTTGCTGGCTGGATGACCTCAGACAAGTCACTTGACCTTTTGAGGTTCAGTTTTCCCACCTGTAAAATGGAGCTACTTACTTACCTCACAGGTTTACTGTGAAGATTAAATGAGATAATGCTTATGTAACACTAGGAAGCCTTCCACATAGTAACCATTCAATGAGTGTGAGTTATTGTTATCAGCAACACCACTCACAAAATGGTGATTTTGCAAAATTCTTATTCCATTCATATCCCTGGGTCATGGGGGATAGAGAACCCAGGCCGAGAAATTACACTTAGTATAGCTGAACAGCTGGGACAGAGCTCTTGGGGGAATCCTGGGCCAGAATTGGCTTCCAGTTCCACTTCCTGTCAGGTCCTTGTGGCTAAAGGGAGGGTGATCAGGCCCCTTCTCTGCCGGCTCCTTATCTCTGAACAGAGCACCTGCTCAACAAAAGGGTTGCAGATATCTTCAGTTGTGATAGTATTTTTCAAAATGAGATTTGGCTGCTATTTCAAATGTGTGTCCTTGTTGAGCACTTCCATGCATTCTGAATTCTGTAGAGCATGTCATATGTTAATCTAAGGATGACTAGTGGGACATTTGGGGGATGATAAAAGGAGACTGCTGTGCTATTAGACAATTCTATGATTTATGGGAGTAAGACATTGCCAGACTGACCACTGAGTGATTCAGTTCAACTCCCGGGTGGATGTGGCAGGATACCATGTAGCATTCGGCTCTCAGATTCACCCATTTCTGCTCAAACACAGCACAGCTCGTGCCTCAATACTGAGGGTATGGAGGAAAAGGCAGTCAGTCAGTGTCTAAAAATGGCGCATGCAAGAGACGCTCGGGGAAGATGTAGCTGGACCTCTCAGGTAAGAATGCCTATTGGCGTACTACTAGATCCCTTCGTTGTTTGGAGTCTCTAGGACAACGGCAACAGCTTTGAGGAGTGGGAAGGGAGGGCCTGAGTTTGGTAACAATCTAAATCAGCACAACCTCCTGACAAAACTGGGACAGCCTTAAGTTTGCCTTCTCATGCCCATGTCTGCAATTCTTTTCAGCCTCCTCCAAGAGGCTCAAGACCCTACTGCTGCTTTGAGCAGGGAAGTGGCCAACTCTTGTCGTAGGATCATCTTCTTCTCCTCTCTCCAAATCACTGGGTCATAAAGGAGCATTTGACTCCAAGGCCTAGTGTTTCTCAATACCCAGGGGAGGATGTTATCTCTTACTGACTCTCCCCTCCAAGGAGTTCTTTGGTGAATGAGGATTACAGAAGCATCCCACAAGTCTTCTGACCAGGAGGACCAGGATGTTCATTAACGTGGTCCTCCTCTTAGAAAAACTTCCCTCTCAGAAGACATGGACTGGTTCAGGTGATCAGTCCCTCGGCAGGGCCTCCTAGCTGAAGACTTTAGGCCCCAGGGCAGACAGGCTAGCATGGAGGTTTCGGGTGGTCTGGTGCCCCTCTGATCATACCAGTGACTTCCTCTTCCACCCAGCCAGTGACTGGTACAACTGCAGAGACCTCGGCTGTCTAAGAACAAAACACGCATTGGCCCTACTTAGCATGGGTCTCTCAGACAATACTTACTCTTCTAAAATATCCATAGTGGAAGAAACCCTTTGCCATCCTCATCTCTCCAACACACATATAATGTAGACAACTTTTTTCCATAACCTAGTGTCTTCATATTCTCTGGCTGGAGATTCAGGTCAGAGGTGTTCTACCTTCTCAGGGACATTTGAATTGAGGGAAGTGTTGGTTTAATTGTTATAAATGGAAGCCAACACTAGCATTTAGTGGGCAGTGGCTAGAGATGCTAAATGTGTTGCAATACATAGGACAGACCCACACAAGAAAGAATTGTCTGCTCAAAGTGCCAATGTCACACTCATTGAGAAATACTCCAAGTTCTTCCCTTCCCATCACCCACCCCCATCAATTTATCTATTCTGTGTCGCATTCCCTCAGGCATCTATTCTTGCTAAATTTGATAAGTTAATCAAATGCTAAGGTGTTAGGGACTGGTGGTAGGTTATTTTGTTCTCTTACAAAGAAAATCATTTAAGCAGAGACCTTCCATGCCTTCATCCTAAAGAAACAACTCAAATGGTAGGTTATTTCAGGCAAATGGCAGGCTGGAAAGGGAGTGGTTTATGGGCAAGAAAGTCTTCCTTCTGGTGTTCTATTTCTTTCATGTGCAATCCCAGCCTCCTAATACAGTTCAGAGGAAATTCTGGGCTTGAGACCATTGCTACCCTACACTCATCCTCTTCTATGGCTTGCCCTTTATGAACAGTGAAGGAAAGCAAGTAGCTGGAACGGGAAAGAATGGGTAGTTTGCTGTGGATCTCCACGCCTTCCACATTTCCAAAAAGAGCCCACAAAATCAGCTCTGGAGGCTAAAGGCATTTATTAACTGCAACACAGACTCGAACAGAAAGCAGATTGAATTCTTTCAACAATTCTTGTTTGTACTCCAGCCTCTAGTTAGAGAGCAGTGTCACAAAGCTGAGGCGGAAAAAATCTTTTTGGACAAATCTGGCTCCCAGCTGCCTGGCCTCATGTGAACAGGAACTTGGCACCGTAGGAAGGGATAGGCTGTTATTGCAGCTGGCAAACGTCGAAGGCATCACGTGGTGAACCTACTCGGCATGGGAAGCAGCATCATGCCAGTGAATAGCAGCAATTGGCAGAAGAAGGGTCAGGCTGGAGTAGGGGGTGAAATGGCCCCAAAAGGGGAAGGCTGCCTGGGAATCATCTTTCTCGCTTAAGTCAGAACTCTTAAGTGCCACTTTAATATGTGCAGCAGGAATCGGGGGGTCTGGATTCCAGGTCTGACGATAAATTGAGTGATCTTGGGAAAATCACTCCCCGTATTGGGGCCTCAGTGTCCTTTTCTGTAATAGAAGAGGATGAATCAGAGGTTGCAAACTGGTGGCCTCTGGGTCTCATTTGGTCAGTGGATACATGTTGGTTGTCAGCCCAATATTTTGTTTGCTTGTTTCTAGTTTGAAAGCCTTGTTTGTATTTGCTCTCCAGTTCACCACAGTCCCCACTATTCTCTCTGATCTTACCGCTAACCCACCAGCCCCTCCCAGCCATTTCCCGTGTTTCTCATATCCATCTTGCTCCCGAAGGCTCCTTTCAACCTTAGAAACTATGAGCTAAGTGATCTCTAGGGGTCTTATAACTAATGTGCTCTTATGACTCCACATTCTGCCTTTAACATCACCAGTGGGCAGGCAGAGATGACCTTGGGGGAAAAGTCGGGAAGTTTGCCATGAACACAACCACAAAGTGGGCATAAAATTAAGAGACACCACTTAAGGAAACACTTGGATGGATTTTCTTAAAGCAGACTCCCCCTGTCCCCTTGCCAAGGATGTAGCTTGTTGAACATCTGTGGCTTTTCCTGGACCTCAACTCCTTTGATCTCTAAATTGACAATATACTGTCTTGGAATAGTGCACAAGTCTCACAGGATCATGGCCGGGCCTTGACCATTGTTCAGCTTTGACTTTTAAAAGAGTTTTTCTTTTGTGGAAAATGGAACCAAGTTGCAGTCCTTCCTGTGTGATTAGATTAGCGGTCTCAGGAAAACATTTCTTTTTTTTTCTTTATAAGGGCAGTGTGACAGTGTGGACTTCCCCTAATAGAAAGCCCCTTGATCTATGTGTCTGGCCACTGGCTAGCCCTGGGGACTTTCCTTCTCACACAACACCCTGAGGCCAAGGCCGTCCCCCTTTAGGTCTCCATTGTTCTCCCTCCTTACACCCCTCTTATCCCTGACACCCTTTAGTGTTATTTGTGGGAGGGCAAAATATAAGCTACAGTGTGAGGAGCTGAGGTAGAAACATTGATGAAGGTTCTTTTCATGGAAAGAGAAGTTACAAGTTCAGGACCTGGTGACCTATTTGATTATTTCACCTTGAGTCATGGCCAACTGCAAGACTTTTACAGGTGACTTCTTTCCATGTTCTAGTCTTGACACAAAACACACTCTCCTGGCACCTTGATCTCTGCAGAAACAAGGTCCTTTCACCTAGATCCTCTGGGACTTACTGTGGGTTGTAGGCAGTGCTGATGTCATAATCCCATTATGATGTTTTCAAACCTCAGTATAAAACAGGCAACCCTACCCCCAGTCTTCCTGGGAGCAGGTGAATCTGCCAGATGTTGAAGTTGTCAAGGGCTTCCTGAATGGACTGCACCTATAGTCCAGGTAAGAGTCCACAGGACTTGAAATAATTAACTAGAAAGTAAATAAACCCAATGCTGGCTAGTGAAATGGAAAGCTTGACATCTTTGGTGTTAACTCAAATGAAGGTAATAAACCTTTGATGAGGTGAACTTCCTCCTTGCCCACTTGAATACCTTAACACTAGCTTTCTCATTTTAAGTCCAACAAGACCCCTCTGGGGCACAAGTCTGTGATTTCAGTAGGTGTGAATGGATGAACTGAATTGTAAATGGGTCATTTAGGGTAGGAAAGAAAGCTAGTTGATTTTAGAGAATTGGAGGAGGGAGACAAGTTGTTTTCTCCTGAAATGTGCTCTTTTCTTTGAAGTTTCCTTCAGAACCTAACTTTCTGACTTACTTAAAAAATATATTGGATTTCTGCTTGAAGGAGAATTGTTTTGAATTAATCTAGACAATATCTTTTTTTTTTGGTTTGCTGATTACTTTCCCTCTCTTATTAGCCTATTAAGGTAAAGAGCACTAGACAAGGAATTAGAACTGTGCCAGAAGTGTCCCATGTTAACTTTGTGTGTCTTTTTTTTTTTTTACTTATCTGGGCTTCCATTTATTCTATAAAGTGAGGAGAGTGGATTAAATGAACCATAAGGCTCTTCAAGTAGATTTTATGAAAATATGAATTAGTTCCACTGGACTAGGGCAATGCCAGTTTACTAAATAATAAACAACAATCGTTTTAATTACACACATTTATATGAAACTAACAGAATGTGTACACAGACTATGTGTATGAAGAAGAAACCTCAGGGATCACCTAGTCCAGTGACTCTCAAGCTTCAGTCATTCATGTCTCATCTTTATGATATTTGTCATATTTGTGTATCACCAGCAGTATTATTTAATGTTGTTTTCTATACTGACTTGTTTCTTAAAATCTTTAAAATATCTTAGTCTCACCCTAAGCAATAATATCCATGAAGTCACAGATTTGATGTAGTAGATATGTCTCTTTCTAATAAGTTTTCATTTATGTTCTACCTACAATCAACTAATGTGCCTGTAGTTGGGGAATACATATCATACTTTGGAGAACATTGCTCTGGTTCCACATTCAGATGTGGAAACTAAAGGTTGGAAAGATTAAATAATTTTGTTTCTTATCACAAAGCAAGTTGCCATGGAAGCATGACCAGAGGCTCCCTCCCCTGATGTCACAATTAGTCAGAGGCAGAGCTGTGGCTAAAACCCAGGTTCTCCTACCTCACCATGCTGCTCTCACAGTTGCCATCATGATCTAAATATCCATGTTCTTTAAGAGAGATGGAACTAGACTCCCAATCTTTCTTAAGTCTACTAAATTATAATAATAAAACATCCTTGTAACTCTTCATGAGTCATTTAATATCTCTGGATTTGAGTACCCTTATTGAAATGATAATTCCAGTTCTGCAGGGGGCGAAAAGCAGTAGCTACCATTGCCTAAGCACTTCCTAGGCCTGTTTCTGGATTATTTTGTTTCATCATCACACCATTATAAGGAGATGGGACCAGATGATTTGTCAGGGGCCTCTCTGCTCTGAAATGTTATTCTTCTAACAGGGTGAACCCAACTTTGCTTATCCAAAGCAGTATGTGTGTACAAAAGGAGCATGAATATTCTAACTTTCATGGAAATCAGATATTCCAGCTAGTCCCACTGAGTAAAGTAAAAAATAATAATTTTAAAAAGCTTAAAATGTGGAAAAATTGATGGTTTGGGATTTCCCATCAGGCATTTGTGTCCTATATAATGAGTTTCCTCCAGGTAGACTCATCAGGTAAGTATCTTGATCTCCTAACCTAGGCTTAGGAGTTGAATCCCATCAGCTCCAGCTATCTACTATCTGTAAGAAAGACATACTTCCTTGTCCTGATGACATCACAAAGCTTCTTTGAGCACAAGTGAGGTAATGGTTGTGCACAGCTGTGAGAAAGCTAACGTGCCTCTGAGTTGAGAACCTTTGCCATAGGGACCTGTTGCCTGCTGGGGGAAATATGCTGCTGTTTATCAAAGAAGGTAACCCTGCTAGAGGAAGCTCCCAGGTAGCTTATCCTAGCCCTGGACACACTCCAGTTCTCATTTCTGTCATTTTTTTGTCCTAGATTTACTATTCTGAAGGTGGACAAGCTGCATCCATTGGGCAATTTAAAGATCGAATTGTACTGTCCAACGAGCCAGATAACGCATCGATCACTATTTTGTATATGCAACCAGCAGATAGTGGCAACTACAATTGTGATGTTAACAACCCCCCTGATTTTAGTGGCTACAATCAGGGTACCCTCACAGTCAACGTTTTAGGTATGGAAATTTTTAATGGTTTTTCTTGGAGCAATTTAGGACATTGAATGAGCCAGGGCAGCGGGTTATGGTGCCAATGAAATCCCAGGAGTAAAGATCTTCCCTTCTCCTTCAGTTATCAGGGATCTAGAGACACATCTCCAATGCTGAGAAATCCACATAGCAACACTGAGAAATCACTCATAAAACATGTTGAAACACTTGCCAAAACACAAGTGCTGCCAAAATGACAGACAACAGTAGATGACCCAAGCTTCAGGGATCCCTATCTCTGAAGGATAAAATGAGAACAGATGGGACGATGCACAGTTCCACTAAATGATCACTAGCAACTCTTTCAGAGGAGCCTTCCAGTTAAAGCCAGTTCTACCTGGGGGAGATAACTGCTAACTCATTACCTCTCTTAAGCCAGCCACAATTCCCACCATTAAATTATTCTTTTTACTACAGGCAGGAGGAAGGGTCCCTTTCTAAAATGTTAACACTATTTGGATTGGTTTTTTTGTTCCATATATAAGTGAAATCATATGGTTTTTGTCTTTCTCTGTCTGACATTCCACTTAACATAATACCTTCTAGGTCCATCCATATTGTTGCAAATGGCAAAATTTCATTCATTTTTATTGCTGAGTAATATTCCAGTGTGTGTGTGTGTGTGTGTGTGTGTGTGTACACACACACACACACACACACACACACACCACATCTTCTTTATCCATTCATTTATTGATGGACCAAAACAAAAACAAACTCATAGAAACAGAGAATAAACTGATGGCTGCCAGAGAGGAGGGGGTGAGGGATAGGTGAAAAAGGTGAAGGGGAATAAGAGGTACAAAATTCCAGTTATAAAATTAATAGGCCACTGGGATGTACTGTACAACACAGGGAGTATAGTCAATAATGTTCTAATAACTTGGCATCCTGACAAATCAGTGGTTACTAGACTTAGTGTGGTAATCATATCACAAGGTATGTAAATGTTGAATCACTGTTTTGTACACCCAAAACTAATATACTATTGTATGACAACTGTATTTTAATTAAAAAAAATAAAATATTAACATTATTTGGAAAAAAGGACCACATATGAAGCCAGAGTTGAGAATTAATTAATTAACTAATTATATTTTTAAAGTTTTTTTTAATTGGGGAATTGGGGGGATGGAAACAGTGCTGGGGAATTGGGGGAAGGGGAACAGACAAGTTGCTGTCCTTTTGTTCTTCAGTCTAGTTGTGGAGGACGTTGCTTCACTGGCCCAAGTTGGCACCATCATTGCGCTCTTCCTAGGCGAGGCACATCAGTCGCCGGCTTCTGGAGGGCCGCTCATTGCGGCTGCTGGCCACTCACGCTGGCTGCTTGCTACACACTGTAGCCCATGGCAACCCACTACAGCAGGTTCTGCAGCCCAGCTCCAGGTTGAGCTGTTGTTCAGCATCTTAGCTGTAGAGGGCAGCGTCACTGGCCCTCATATGTGGGATCCGAACTGGGGCCCTCTGGCATCCCAAGCCAGCTCTTAACCAACGCGCCACTCGGCTGGCCCGAAAATTAATTTATTTATATACAAATATTCATTATGTGACATTGGGCAAGTCATATCCATTCTTCAAATGAATTTGGAGTGGTTCATTTATTCAGTATTTATTGAGTGCCTACTTTGTGCCAGGAGCCATGAGCTTTTCAGTGATGGACTATGGTTTCTGCTCTTGGAGAGTTCATAGTTTTGGAGATTTCTAGGGCTTCCTTCATCCTCTGTTTAAGAGAACAGTGGCTGTTTTGCTCCTGTCTGTTGGCCTAGCAGGTCCTGTCTGCAGGTATTTGGGAATACCGAAGGGCCTGATGAAAGGGCTGTCAACACTCACTGACTAACCAATTGAACTAATGGATCTCCCACTTCTAAGTATCCCAAAATGGCGCTGATCTAGCCATTGCTCTTCTCAAACTGTGTACCTCCATCACAGAAAAGGAGGAACTAGATCAAACCAGTGGGATGATAACTGAATAGCTTGGAAAGCAGCAATTGATAACAAGGTGCACACCTGGGAGAACTGTCTAGAGTTGTCTGAGCTTGCCACTCAGGTGATGCCAAAAATGCACCAGCTGGCTATTTACTGTGAGGTTTGCTACTGCATCTACCCACCTGGAAAAGAGGGGAAGGTAATCACGAGTTGATTTTTAAGAGCAGGGTAGCTCAATCGTGTTGTGTTTGTTTTTTTTGCTGAGCCCTGTGCTAGGCATTGGGGTACAGGGGAAGGAAAGAGAAGTATACACCAGCCCTTTCCTGGGAGAGCTGAGATTCCAGTTTGGAAGACTAGTCATTTCCATGGTCTGATATAGATGCTAGCACATCAGGCTGGGAGCCAGAAGATCTAGGTTCTAGCTCTTACTTGGCTACTCACTGACCTCAGGCAAGTCAGTCCACCCTGCTCTGGCCATTTTGAGGTGGGGCTGTAGCTCCTGCCCTGTCTTTACAAGTTTATTATGAGGCTCAAATGATATACTGGAGAGTCAATGTTCAAATAATTTGAGGGATTACTCCTCTAATGGTTTTCTGTTGCTCCCTGGTGCTGTGTTGTCCTTCTGAACAGAAACTACGTAAAGAAACCAGACCTCTTTATCTCCGAGCTTGGAAATAACCCTGAGATAAAGTTACACAGGAAGGTTAATATTCTTAAATTTAAAGTTCAAAGAATCCCAAATCAACTTCCATAACAAGCTGAGAGACATTTCCTTTCCAAGTTGTTATTTCCCATGAGTCTTTGGGTCAGTTGTTCCTGCAATGACTGTGTCATGTCTTTTCCTTAAGCATCCAGGATCCAGGCAAGGTAAGTGACAGAAGGGTCTGTGATTTCCTTGTTTGTTTGGGAACTCTCAAAAATTAAATTTTTATTAATTGGGATAAGAACAAAAGCATTCCACAAATTAATGCTTTCTGGAAATCTTGAGACCAATAATTGTCTCTAAAAATTGCAGAGGCTGTTTACAGTTCTCAGTTTCCATTGCATGTGAATGCCTGTTCTGCTTACCCTGAGTGAGGGGTGGGGCATGATAGGGGCAGGTGGGTTAGGGAGGCCAATGGTTGCGAGGGGTGTCGATATTTCCTTAAAGATCGCTCTTCCAAGCAATGCATTTTTCCGGGACATTTTATTACCCAGTGATGGACATTGATCCTATGCATTCACTCGTTTGTGCATAAATTAATTCAACAAACCCTTACCATATGTCCAGTTACTGTGCTAAGCAATGGAGATGGAAAGATGTAAAAGACAGCATCCCGACCCTCCAAAAGTTCAGAGTCTAGTGAGGGAGGCAGATACATAACAGAAAAGCTTACAGTGGAGGTGGGGGAGGAGAGTTCGGAGACACGGGGAAAGGGCTAAAAGCTGTGTGGGGGAACTGCAGAAGGCCTCCTGGAGAATGTGACTTTTGTAGTGAATGTTGAAGGATGTGCAAAGTAGGAAAGGGGCTGAAACGGCAGGACATGATTTAGGTGAAGGAAACTACAATGAGCAACAGGCCCAGGTGTTTGGACGACCATTCATTTGAGAGACTTCCATTAGGTGTGACAGTCATGGAAAACGAATCTCTGAAAAATACCCAGCAGAGGTTTGGATAATTATTTTGTATGTATTTGACATGAGTATCATTTTCCTCCTGCAATCTGGCACATAAAAAGAAAATAATGAATTTAGTGAAGATTTGAGAACACACTGAAGTATTTTCATTTATTTTCTGAGGTGAACCTCTCTCTCCCGCCCCAACTCTGTTGAAAGCAATAAAGCTAAATGGTAGATCGATGGCTTCGGCAGTAAACATCTAAGTTCTACTGGGGACTTTAACTGAAGTGTCAATTCAACTCTGACTCAGTAGTTTTGGAAAATATATACGTTTGGGACCTGATTCAAAATGATTCACTAAGTGTTTTGTTAATAAAAATAAAAGGAAAAAAATGTGTTCAGCAATAAACAAACAAACAAATACAATTCCTATTTAGGTTTGCTTCTGGGCTCAAGAAATGAATGCAAGTGATTCTAGGGTTTTGTGCATCATTTAGCGCAAGTCCTGGTGTCTGACTTTGTGATGAAACACCTCACTTAATTTTATGTTCAAATGTCTCTATTCTGCTGTAAAAGCTATAAAATTACCATGTTTAAAAAAGTGCAGTATCTAAATCTAGTGATAGTTGCAATGGACTTCCAGTTAAATAATAGCCTTGTTTAGGGTAGGCAAATCCAATGAGTCGTCCCCAGCTGAGAAAATCAGTGGTAAGAATAAGAGAGAATAAAGCGGTAAATAGGAAAATACTTATTTTAATTAAAAGGCACCTGTTTAAAAGGTAGAGTTGTTTCAAAGATAGAAGTGTTTCACAGAGGTCCAGCTATATCCATCTGTTTTCTTGCTCATGTGTCCGGTGGGTTAGAATGCAAGACTGGAAGATTCACTTCAGTAGCAAGCTATAAAATGTGGCAGCAGGAATTAGTCCTGCTCATAGCCATCAGCAATTCCACGTGCAAGGCTCTAGAGACATGGTTTTAGTTATATAAATACAATATATTTGGATTACTCTGAGGTCAGAGCATCTCTAGTTCACATTTTGCAGATGGATCAACTGAGATTTGGCTCTGCTAGGCTACTTGCAGACATTTAGGAGAAAGTTGCAGAGATAGTGTTCTGTGTGGGTCCAGCGCTCTGTTCTGAACTGCTACCTCCCATGAGCTTGGCAGTCCGGAGTATTGAAGGTCTAACCAGCCTAAGTTAGAGAAGCTGTGCCTTCGGAGGCTTTTAAATCTAAATTAAGATAAGGAAGGTGAATTGGAAAGTACCGACATTCAGATCCTTGTCTTGCTGTCAGACTAAGGTGAGAAACAGCTGTGAGCATTAATACAGGCGAGGAGATTCAGATTGCTTTCCACAGACCTTCTTCACTGAGGTGTTTCCTAAGCAGCTAAAAATCAGTGTGTCCCAACCTGACCTCATCCTCACCCCTTCCTCCTCCTCACTCTTTCCCCCAAAACCTGCTTTTCCTCCTGTTTTCTTTATCTCAGGGGATGATGGAAAGCTCATTACCCAGCTGTTCAAATCAGATACCTGGGCGTCATCGCTGATTCCACCTTCTTCCTCATGCCCCATATCTAACTGGTTCCACCTGTTGACCTGTTAGTACTTCTTGAATCTGTCTCCTCCTCTCCCTTGATTCAGGCACCCCTGGAGTCAGTGAGATCCAGGTAAAACATTAAAATGACCAGTATCCCTCCCGTACTTAAATTTCTTCCATGGTCCTACTGCTCTCGGTATAAGATACATGAAAGACAAAGCCCTCGAAGCCGTGGCCGCCTGTATACCACGCCCCCCCCCCCCCCCCCCCCCCCCCCCGCGCGCTTCAGACCTGTGTCAGAACTACTTTTGAATTTCTGGTGCGTAGCCCAGTGCCAGGCACACAGAAGGCACTCAAGTATTTGCTTATGGAGTGAAAACTGAATAAAGATTTCAGCGCTCTGTAGCACACCCCGCCCCAAATGGGCTTCCCCTAGCAATGAATGCCACAGGCAAATTCAAACCCTCCAACCATTTTGTGGCACTCCCCAGAAGAAAATGCCAAAAAATGACTCATAAAGGAAAACAGAAAAGAAAAATATGGTATTAATATAAAAAATATGGTATTAATATAACAATTCAAAAAAAATAACAGGTTATCTCCAAGTATTTGAGGGTTCAATTTTCCTTTAAAACTGTGCTTCAAGAGTATAAACTATGCTCCTAGTTGTTTCGTGTTTGCTTACATTTGGTTGTTTTAAGACATAACGTGGAAGTTCATGATTATGAACCTGGGGAGGAGGCAGACTGAAGAAACACTATTAGAATATTAATGGCCTGGTGACTGGAAGGTCCTAGCACCTGAAGTGTTCTCCTCCCACCTAGTGGTACAAACAGAAAACTGTCAAAATAAGTTTTTAAAGATTTCATGTTCCACAAAATGAAAGTGAGGAAGTGACTGCAATTGTTACAGACTGTCATTCATCCTACAGGGCTTTTACTCTTTGTCATTGCTTTACAGTCAAACCTTCTAAGCCCTTTTGCAGTATTCAAGGGATACCAGAAACTGGCCATCCTGTATCTCTTTTTTGCCACTCAGTGCTCGGTACACCTTCCCCTGTGTACCACTGGTATAAACTTGAAGGAAGAAACCTCATTCCAGTGAAAGAAAGCTTCGGTAAGGATAGCCCTCAGCAGCCCCTGGCAGGGCCTGGTGTGTGTGCTGGCTGACAGCATGTGTGTGTGGCTGGCTGCTCTTCTTTAGAACTCAGTCTTTTTAGTTTTCTGGGAAGGAGATATAAAGGGAACATCTACCTCCTAATAAGTTGATTATGGTATGGTCTTAGCCCCGCCTTTTAGGAGTCAAGTCTGCTTTTGGCTCAGAGGTGGTGGGTATGGAGAGAATGGTGTGGACCCAGATGGTCTACCTTTGGAATAGTTGTGAGGAGTCTAGTTGGACCCTGGACATCTCAAGAATGGGAGGCCAACGTGAGGAAGTGGGTGGGCATTGAATGATCTGCTACACTGACATGATCTGTACCCACATAAGAGATTTGAGAAGTCTATTTCCTGGTTTTGACAGACCCAGCCACCGGGATTTTGGTTATTGGAAATCTGACCGATTTTGAACAAGGTCATTACCAGTGCACAGCGATCAACATCCTTGGCAATAATACCTGTGAAATCGATCTGACTGCTTCACGTGAGTTGATCATACAACCTGAACAGTTCTCTTTAAGTCAAGTATCCTGGGCGTGCTGACCAAGGAAATTAGTTAAGGTCCCTGTTTAGTCCTTCCTGCCTCTCTGAATATTTTGGTGCTTTATGTACATATTGGTTGAAGTGATGAATTACCATCCTAATATCTAATGATTATGTAATACTTGTATATGCCACACACTGCCCTAAATTGTTTACAAACATTAATTTGTTTAACCTCACAACATCTCTAGAGAGTAGTTATTACAATTTAATAAGTAAAATGACAGCTTCATTGGTAGTACCAGGCTGAATTTTCTTTGTTATGCTGTTGGTCAATCCAGGTGAAGCTGTAGCAATCTATATCACACATGGAGCTCACAAACTCTCCAGTTCTTAATTAATTTGTTAAGATCTGCCTCAGATAATAATAGTAATAAGAACGGTCACAGAGGCTAATATTTGTGGAGCACAAATTATGCACTGGACAACTCACCTGGGTGCTGTGAGCATTACCTCACTCCATCCTCCAACCACCCTGCCTGGGAGGCAGAATGTATTGTTAGCCTCATTTTACTGAAAAGGAAACTGAAGTTCAGGGAGGCAAGTGACTTGCCCAAGGTCATCCAGTTAGTAACTGGCCGTGCCAGGATTGCCTCTAAACCTCAATCTTCCAGTTCAGAGGTGCTCAGTTACTAAGCACAGACTTGAGGGCCTGGCCAGTCAGGGATAAGCTTTCACAAGGGATTCCCTGGCACACCTCTCACAAATCACTTAATGACACTTAGGATCATGTCCTCTATTCATGTTTTCTAACTTACTTTGAATCTGTGGTTTTAATCTATACTGTGTCCAGGGTGGCCACTGGATCATTGCTTTCCTGAAAAGCTTTCTTCCTTGTATTTGTCCTGAATCAAACATTTCCAACTCCAGGTTGCTCGTTCGTTCGCATATCACTTTCAGCTCTTTTCCATTCAGTGTGAAGAAACCTCATCTTTTTTCTCTCCTTTCCTGTGGTCCCATTGTACCCGCAATCCCTTCATAATTGATGTTGTTTTTCCTCTAGATCTTCCCCAAACCCTTTTTGTCTTTCCAGACGTACAGTCATACTGCAGATGTAGACACTCCTAGGATTTGTACTTGAGCCTTACTTCCTTTTGAATCCTCTTTCCAATGGTGTTGGCTTTTGGCTCCCTCCCTTCCTCCTTCTCTCCCTCCTTGCCTTCCTCAAATATTCACTGAATATCTACTATATGCCAGAGACTGTCCTAGGTGATGGATACACAGAGGTTAATAAGATATATGTCTTAGAGTCAAGGAGCTCACAGCTGAGCTACAGGGATGAACAAACACTAAAATGTGTTAAGTGGAGGTCTGCACAGGGTGGTCTGTGGGACACTGAAGAAGAAACATAATTATATGCTTATAGAACCAGGGCCAGCTTTAACAATGAAGTGCTAATTGAGGTAAATCTGGAAGCAACTTGCAAAGCCTGTTTCTTTATGAATAAAATAGGGATGGAGGTGAAAGAGGGTTGAAGGATGACAGTAAAGCAGCAGACTTAGAAGGCTCACCAGTCCATGTTGGGGGAACAGGATGGAGGATTCCAGAAAGGATGTCTCCGGGGGGTGGGGGGATAAGAAACCAATAGACTATGTGATGTGTTTGAATCTATTAAAAGGGGTTTAAGAGTTTTGCTGGAAATTTTGGGGATTAGTGATAATACATTAAAAAAAAGCAAATCCGCAAAAGAGGTAATTATTATCCTCAGGGAACATTTTAAAATGTTGTACAAGAACAAATCATAATATATACCATGTTCTGCAGCTGTGAACAATATTTACATAGTTACAATACTGCAAACTTGAATGTAACTACAACTTGTGCTGTAACTCTTTGAGGAGGATGTGGAGAGGGGAATGGCGTAAGAACATTAAATCTTCAACGTCTAGAGTAGGCAGTCAATAGAAAATGACAAAAATTGGAAAAGGCAGAACATACTAGAACAAGCCGAAAGAAACAAGGAGGAAAATTCCAGAAGATGAAAAAACAAAAAGAGTAAAGACTGGTTGCCTCTAGCGAATGGCACTCAGAAATAGGAGACCACTGTTTTTCCGTTAGAAGCCCTAGTAGAGCTGTTGGACTTTTTAAATTATGCACGTGCGCTCCTTTAATCATAAAAATGTTAAAAAGAATAACCAGCCAATTCAATTAGCATTTCATCTCAAAATATAAGATGTCCATCCTTGTTTGAGAGGAGGCGGATGGGAGTGGGCCTGCCTGGAATCCAGACATAGCCTCCTGGGGACAGTACCTCAGTGCTCTAAGGTCTTGGTGCTCAGCTGAATCATCTCACATTTACTAAGTTTCTCCATAGACTGATCTAATAGTCCACATGCCTGTTTATGGAAATAGGCAGATATCCCTTTTTAGTGGCCAGAATGCATGTGACTCCGTGATGAGCATGGTATTTGTGGGAGAGAAGGTTTTTAGGGACCTGTTTCACCTATGTTCAGGGAAAGCCTGGTGAAATGTCCTTGCCTGTAACAGGTCATTTCTCTGGTCAGCAGATTGCAGCTCCATGGTGTCTCTCTCACTGACCAACCAAATGTGCACTGAAGACTCACTTTTCTAAACCCTATTTTAAAGAGACCCCACCTCCCACAAGTTGGCATGATTTTTACCTTATGTTTGTGAATGTGAATGGGTAAGCTACATAGTCGAGCCAGGCATCTTTCTTCCCCCACTATGAGTCCAACTGGCAGGGTTCAAGGATTTTCCATGTTCCCAGCCTATACAAGTCTCCTGCCCCCATATGAACGCCCTGAATAGCCCTACGGGTCACAGATGCACATGTATGAGGTAGACAGTATCTTCCACTTTGCTAACAAGCTGCTTGTATCCTCCAGATTCAGAAGTTGGAATCATTGTTGGAGCCTTGGTAGCGATCCTAGCGGGAGCTGCCATTGTCATCTCTGTGGTGTGCTTTGCAAGAACCAAGGCAAAGGGGAAAGGAAGGAAGAGAAATTCTAAAACCACCACAGAACTTGAGTAAGGCCTCATTTGTTGTCTTTACTTGAATACGAACATTTCTCAGGCATAGCTCTTCTCAGTCAGCTCTTCCTAAGCACTTCTTTTAGGCTAAGTTGTCAGGGATTCTTTCTGCTCAACTGCACTGCTTTTATACAAGAATGATGATGGCTACTGTTTACTGAGCACTGCATGCCAGACTGTTCTAAGCACTTGACATCAACCACTTTAAGCACAACAACAACACTTACAAGGCCTAAGAACATGTTTTGATCATATTAATATACTTGTGTTTCTACCAACACAGTCATAAAATATAATTTTTAATGCTTTTTTTTATGGAACACGAGGCCCATGAAGGCAAAAGTGTGTAGGGCCCACAGAAGTCAGAAAGAGACACTGCTCACAGTCCATGCTCTTGACCACTCTGTTGTTTCTTCTAGAAGGTATATCGCACTCATTCATTTGTTCATCCCTCCATTTCCATGCTTCCGCAACTATATATTGAGTACCAGCCAGGTGCCAAGTATTGTGCTAGATGAAGTGGGAGCTAGAGTTGCACCCGAGCCATGGATTTGGCCATTAAATACCTTATTAGATCTTTAGGTCCTTTCATCCTGATACCAGTTTCCCCAGATTTTAAACACTGGATTTTCTCTCTTGAACTCTCAGAATATTGTTGAGATATAATCTTTGTGCTCCCAAAATGGAGACACGCAGTCTGACAGTGAGGCAGAATATTAGAAATCACAGAGATACTGAACAGACTGGGACCCGGTCACTGAAGCTACAGAGCCTATAGCTCCACATGAAATGTCAAACCCTAACTTGGTCTTCCCTGGGCCTTCTTCCTGCAGACCAATGACAAAGGTACACCAAGGTACAGAGTTTGAGACAATGCCATCTGAAGACGTTACCCAACTGGAAGCGACTCTGCCAACTTCCTTCTATGATGCTGACACTGATGCCATCCATGGGCCATATCATGAGCCTATTCCCAAGCCTGAGTCTGGCCAGGAGCCTGCCGCAGGATCTGAACCTGTCCGGGTGCCTGAGCTTGAGATTCAGCTGGAGCCAGAAGCCGAACAGGAGCCACAGATGGAGCCGGAACCAGAGCCGGCGTCGGAGCTGGAGCCCGAGATTGTAGTTGAGCCCTCGTGTGATGAGGAAAAACAAGCGAAAAAGCCATAGGCTGGCAGCCTAAATGCAGTGTTCATCACTTAGGAACCTATTACTGGCATTTAGAATTTAGCTGACCTACCAATCTCCCACCACCTCGCTCCATTCCGACCAATCCTCTTCTAACAAGGTGCTCCTACCATCAACCCAAAATAAACAGGTCAAGATAACTACTAAATAAATGTGAGGTTTCCTGCATTACCAGTATAGAGTACTTACAATTTTACTAAAGCGTAAACCTAACAAATGATTAGGGAAGTGATTTCTAACTCAGTTCAAAGTGTTTTTGCAACACCACCTCTGGCGTATTTCAGAAAACTGTTTTTCTCTATTTTTAGCTACTCTTAGTTACATTCCACATGCACACGTGACAAGCTGACATTAATTGAATTCAATATTGTTTCTAGGATTAGTTCAGGGTTTCCCATTTTCACACTGACCTCTAAGAAAATAATTTACCAGCATCATCTCATAGATTGGGGAAAAATCCTAAAACATTCCAGAGAAGACTATGTAAAAGGTACATATTGATTGGTACATAGCATTTAAATCTAGGTCTTAAAAATCAATGCTTCGTTTATCATATGAGATTTCCCAAGGAACCACCCTGTTATTCAATATCTGAGCATAGCAAAATTTCAAACTAACCCTTTCAAATGCAAAATAATATACAGGCAAACAATTCCAAATACAAATTTTCTTCAGTGAATACAAAAGGTGATGTCATAGGTGATGTACAATTTAGCTTTGAATGAGCTATTGTGCTATCACTGTGTCTCATGCTATCTACTTTGGAAGGGCCACACTAGGAAGCTGTTCTCAACAAACTCTTAAGATCAATTTTAGATAATCTGAACTAATTATTTAACCTGTTTTACATTTGGGGTATCCCACATTAATAAAGAGGTATCATTCTTGTATAAATGTCACATATTAAGTAAAATGCATTGATATCACCACTTCTTCATCTGTTAAAAAGCTCTTCTATTGATCATATTTTCACCCACATGCCACCTTGAAGAAATTTACAGGTAGATGTTTTCATTTGTGTAATCAATCAGATTTTAAATCTTACTTCAAGGTTCAAGAAATCATATTCAATAACATGTTATTTTAATGATCCTAAGGTAGATCTTTTATAAACAATTTTATTGACATTTATGTACAATAAACTGCACCTATTTCAAGCATACAAGTTGATGAGCTTTGACAGATGTATACACCCGTGAAACTGCCACAACAATCTAGAGCATTTCCAGCATCCAAAACATTCCAAAATGTTTCCTATGTCCCTTTGTGCAATCCCAACAACACCCTGGACCTAGTCAATCATTGATTTGTTCTCTATCATTTAGAGATAAGCTTTGTTTTTTCTTGACCTTCATATAAATGGGATCATACAGTATGTACTTTTTGTGTCTGACTTCCTCCTAAGGTGAATCCTTTTTAAATGAAGTAATGAATCTCGGACTTTTCACATCCAGATTTTCACATAGCGGCTTTTCTGAAACTGCGAAGCCCTTTCTATATAGATCCTACCTATACACTAATTGAAGTAGTCTTCGAAGATTTTAGGGTAGATTGACATTGAAATTCACATTACACTTGTCCAGAGCCACGGAGAGAAGAGATAGCAAGCCTTTACTTATGTATTTTCTCTGATGTGTTAATTTTAGCTAATCACATGGATTCTTTAAGTATCTATAATTCCATTCAGACAAAATGTATTATGATATATGGTGTCTGATTGGTAAAGGAAGCAAAATGACAGTCTTAGGAATGACCTAATATTTAGAGATTTAAAACTAGACATCAGCAGTACAAAAGTCTCAATTACCAAGCTGCCTAAGTATCTGGAATTCACTTTTCCCTTCCACTTTTATGACAGAGGCAAATCAGAAGAAAAGAGACTGATATGTGATAGTCAAAAACTACACCCCAAAATTTCTGAACAGGATGAGAGGTACTCTTGGCAGTGTTACAGAACTGTGTCTTGATGAACATTGTTCTGTTCAAAATACTGAATAGCGGGATCAGTGGTGTTTAACCTTTTCTGAGGTCATGGATCACCTTGAGAAAACGCTGAACACTCTGCATCCCTCTCCATAGAGAAATTCTTACACACAAAAAGTGTCACGCACCGTCTTAGAACACTTACAGATACCTTGAATCCATGATTAAGAACTAGTGACTTAGATGAAAACATGGAAGGCACACGATACATCTGTGGCTGTCTTGCTCCTGGGGGGCAGGAGCATGGCTGCTATGCTGTAAGACAGAATCATGGCTCAAAATGGTCTCGGTAGCCTGGAAGCTTAGCTGCAATCAACAGAATGAATTTGACAAGGCGAGGTCTTCATTTAAAAATAGTGAGTACATGTTGCCCAGGCAGAAACCCTCGCTGGGCAAAGTGGGGAGGTAGGTGAGGTTAATCTGAAGTGGATTTCTCCTTTCAGTGCCCTTCCTGGCTTTCTGGCATCTTATTTTCCAAACACCCAGGATTCTCATGCACCTAGCAGCTCAGTGACCCACTCAGGTCTTCATCTCTCAGGCAGGGTTCATTGCTCAGGACCCTTGCCACCCTTTCAAATGGTAGCCGTAACTGTTCTTGTCCAAAGAGTATCACCTTCCATCATCCAATGATGTCATTCAGGTTGTAAGGAGTTAGCTGTTTTAGGAGTGTTTACCTTTAAACAGAGGACCTGGAACAGAGATAATCCCTTAATCCAAAGAGTCTAAATGGTAGAATTTCAAGGATTGGAACAATCCAGAGGGGAGTTTTTCCTGGTTTGATTGAACTTCAACCAAATTATTTCAGCGTAATTCTCATTCAGAGAGGGTACTACCTGATTTGTTTTGCTACAGGTAGTTAAAATTTAAGTGGCTATTCCCAAACAAATCCCAAACCAGCCTTGGGCTTCTTAATCATTCACTTCTCACCGCCCAAAAATACTTCCAGGAACTTCTCTCCTCTCTGTTTTTGCATTTAGCAACTAGGATATGTGAAAGTCAACAGAACTTTCTGTTTTGGGCTGTAGGCCGATTCTCCCTGAATTCATCTGTTTATTCAGTCATTCATTGCACATTTATTGAATGGCTACTATGAACCAGGTACTGTGGTTGGTGACACAATGGTCAGCAGAATCAGCTTTACTAACGACAACAAGTTCTTACATGTTATCAACAGTAGTGTGTTGTCTGCAGGGTAAGAAGGCCGGAATTTGTACTGCACTGGGGAAGGCCTCCAAATTATAGTGATCTATGAGGAAAAAGGACAAAACCATAGCAATTCTTGAACAACAGTTAAGAAACCACATACACTGATATCGCCTATGTCCTTGAGAGTAGTACCAGGTGATCTTTTCCCCCAATACTGTATGCTGAGAAGTTAATAGTTGCAGCTCTTACACTGACCTGTGTGTAACGCAAGTTTGATGAACTTTCAGTAAAAAGAGCTAGCAGAGCTGGAAGGGAGCTCTGAGATCAATGGCATTCAACCTTTTCCAATCCCAGCGCAGTTGAGGGTGATAACACACACAATATCACACAATGGCTCACTCCTGATAATGACCAGGTGGAGGCAAGACATGATGCAGAATTACATTCTTGGTGGGGAAGATAGAAGGGGTAAACGTAATTTTAAAAAGTTGGGTCACTGTTATACATCCACAGCCAATCCCCAGAGGAGAATCCCTGAGTGAAGAGAGGTCAAATAATCTGCCTGGGTTTGTACAAAGTCAAGGCTAGACCCCAAGTTCTTTGATTCCTAGTAATGCTCTTTCAACTGCACCAAACTACTAATTTCGATGAAAACATACCCAAGTTTTAATAATAAAAAGTTGTTTTATAATGTCTATGTGCTGGGAAACAGGTCTCAAAAAAGGTTCAAACAGACCAATAAAGAATAATACCACTTGTTTTTGCAGTTTGGGTTTAAAAACAAAACAAAAAGAATTCAGAGATGCTAATGAAGTTTCCAGGGCATGAAAAAACTCCCCATAAATGTAAAGAAAAGCACAGCGGGTGGGGGTGGGACTTTTCACAACTAACAGGTTATCAAAATGCCACAGTATCTTCCATTTGGTCCACTGATTTTGAGTAGAGGCAGAAAGAAAATGGATCCGGGTCCAGGAAGGCTAGGTTTTAGTGTTGGTTGTTTCTCTAGCTCTGAGCATTTTCTCATATGTAAAATGGAGATGATTTCTGCCTTCTTAAAAGGCTACAGTGTGGTAGAACTACACTATTGTAGAACTCACAACAGTATTGATTCTCCTGACAATTGATTCAACATTCTTTTTACTCTTGACCAAGGATTCTTAACCTTCTGGGGAGTCACAGATCTTTGAGATTCTGACGAAAGCTACAGAACCCTCTTCCCCAAAAAATACATACATATTTCTACATTGAATTTTAGGTAGTCAATAGAACTGTGAGGCTGAAGCCATAAACCCCGAAGTAAACAGCTCCCACACTGTATCAAACTTGCTGACAGACTGATTTCGGGGTTGATATTGTAACAGGATATGGAAAAAGAAAGCAGCAGACACAGCCATGTAATGAATTCACCATAGTTGATATATAAGTAAATCAATGCACTGGGGACATACAGTTAAATTGTCAAAGCTTATAAAGTAAAAAGTAAAAAAAAAAAAACCTTGAATCTCATAGAACCTCACTGAAATTGTGGATTCCGTCTGATACTTAAGAATGTAAATTTTTTTCCTATTTACCTATTTCTTCCATCTTATATTCTCAGTTAAGCTTTACAATTAAAATTGTCATCTTTCTTAAGTGCATTTTGGAAGTAACTTTAAAAGCTGCTGACCTTGAATCAGCTTGAGCTGTCAGCTTTCCTCTAGGGAACAGGTAACAATTGGATCAATATCTGAGGCTGCTAATATCCTTAGTTTATACAAATCAGTGCTTTATTGTTAATAAGCCACTTCATTTAAAATGCCAAGAGCCTACCAATTACCTGAGGCTTGCTTCCATCTGTATTGCTTATTAAAGAACTAGGATGTTTTCTTTTCTACCACAAAGCTTATTACTTCAGACAATGAATTCAATATTTATGAAGAGTAAATGCCTTCAGTCCTAACAGGCCCAATTGGATACAACTTAAATCACACTAAAAAATAGTGGAAATATATTATTTCCCCTATCATCAATTCTATCCCTAGTATTCAATAAACCAAGTTCAGTTCCATTAAGAAGATGCTTCCCTGGTTAATATTTGTAAAGATCAGCACTCAAAATATTTATGTAAAATGTGTTTGCAATAACAACACAGTTCGTGTTTACAAAACTCATTTTAGCTACTGGTCAGTCTCCGACCCAAGTTAATGTAAGTTAATGGGCTCACTTACTTCAATATTTGCAGCACAAAATTCAAATTAAAAAATTGTGAAGAGTCACTTGGAGGTCGTTAGATTTTATGACTAGTAATCATTTAAGACAGCTCCCTAAATTGAGTTCAAGTTTACACTTATTAATTTCCTTTTGCTCCACATTTAATTAGCAATTCAGAAGATTACATTATTAAAGATTTTAGCTACAGTTCAAGCTTCACTAATTTTATTGACTCTGAAGCTACCAAAAACTGAGAAATGGCTTTATGAAGGAAGAGGCTTTTAGGCTTAAGTGGGTGTTTTAACCAATTTGAAAAACAAAATTGGGAGATTCTCTCAACATTTTATTTTTTGTTTTTGAAATACAAATCAAAACACATTTTTGTTACATAGCATGTTAACAAGCCTGACATTCTTTTCAAAACAGGATGACTTAATACAGGTACTTAAAAACTTCCTTTTTAAACACAACACGTTATGGAGAAAAATAGCTTATTAATAAGATACACGGGTACATGGGCTATCATTTTTTTTATTTTAGTGTTTATGAATGGCAAACTTGGATAGCAAGTCCTCCAACTGAAAATTTGGTCCTTTAAAATATATAAGTATTCCTCCTGTAACAAAAATAAATTAAATGTTCTACTGCAAAAACAGAAATATTTGGTATAGGACTCTGAGTGAGCTTGAAAAACAAGTTAGAATGTGTTTCGACTGTACAGAAGGAACATTCTAGAATCTACCTAAAAACATTTGGCAGAACAACTGGCCTGATGCTTTTGGAGTTATTCTGCTTCAGAGTGGACAGAGGTTGCTTGGGAGAGTACTGCAGACTCACAACAGCCACAGAAACACTCAAAATTTACCAAAATTCAATAGGGAATAACATACAATAGTAGAACAATATCAACAGTTATTCAGTGCCTGTAAGCTAAGAACAAGTATCTCAGCAGGAACAATATTCAAAACATGTGAAAGACTTAGAACGTGAAAAAAAACTTCATCATTTATAGATGATGTCTTGTGCACAAGTACATTAGTTGCCAGGACACTGGGGACAACCACAAAACATACAAAGAAAGAATAATGCCAAGCTGCTTAACCTTCCACCATTTTCTTGAGTGTTAAACCCAGACCACCTTTGGCCACTTGAAGGGGTGTCTTTTCTTCTTTATTCTCAATGTAAATACTTGCTCCTTGTGATACCAGCAGTTTTGCTTCTTCCACTCTCTCCTCGTCACAGGCTAAGTGTCTGCAATTGAGGACCACAAAGACGGATCAATCAGTAATTCTCTGTAATGGCTAGGATTTTCTGATAGGTACTCTAAAGTGCATATTATTAGGTAGTGTAATACTGGGAAGTTATTAAATTAGGAAAGGAAAATCAATTTTCATGGGGAAGAGTGTGTTTATAAGTTAAAATTCAGTGAAATAGCCTTATAATATCAGATCATAAATCGTAATTCTGGTCCTACTGCAATAGGAAGGATCTAAATGCTTGCCCAAGAAACAAGTTCTTCATTTTACTGAGATTAGAAGTAATTTGCACCAAACACATGGAATCATTCAGGGTTAGAATTTAGAAAATAAAAATCAGCCAATTCATAATCTGCTAATAGGAATGTGTATGGTTTATATTTTGGAAAAGCAGTTTAACTCAGGGCTGGCTGAGTGGCTCAGTTGGTTAAGAGTGCGAGCTCTGAGCAACAGGGTCACCAGTACAATTCCCACATGGGCCAGCGAGCTGCGCCTGAGCTGCCAACAGGTGGCAGGATGGCTCAGCTGGTGAGAGCACATGCTCCTAACAACAAGGTTTCCGGTTCAACTGGGATGGTGGGCTATGCCCACTCGCAACCAAGACTGAACTCGGCACCTTGAGCTGAGCGGCCACGAGCTGCCCAAGGGCGGCCAGATGGCGACTGGACTTGGAGCTGAGCTAGCTGCGCTCTCCACAACTAAGACGAAAGGACAACTTGACTGTTTCCCTTCTCCATTCCTCAACACTGTTCTCCTTCCCCAATAAAATCTTTAAAAAAAAAAGGAAAGGAGTTTAACTCATCTGATCCCTATATCCACCTTATAAGTTAGCAAGGTATTATTATCACCATTTTACAGTTGAACTTGTGACAGAGGTTAAAGCCCTTGTCTATGATGATATGGCTGAGCAGTAACTGAGGTAGGGAACCTTGCTAGGCACTTATAGTTTGCCAGCCAGGCTATTAGACATGTTACACGTTATTTTATTTCAACCTCACGAGCATCGACTGAGGAAGGAATTATTATCCTTATATTACAGATGAGGAAATGAAGACTCAGGAAGGTTAAGTAATTTTTCTAAGTTACTTAACATAAGTATTTAATATAGTTGGTAAGTGGCTGAGTATGTAAATCCTAGGTGCTTCCCAGAGCCCTATACTGCCTTTTACATATCGCCAGGCCACCTGAGTTTTTTGCTATGGAGGCAAGAGCAAGAATATGCAAGTGTTTCTCACCGGAGTCATTCAGAACTACAGAAAATATTTTTAAAACTAAGAGTTAAGAAAACAATGTTTTCAAAAAGTTGGTTTAAAGTCAAATTAGAAAAGGCTGGATCTCACTTTGGACTAAAAAGAAGACTCAGAATTTCTGGCTCCAAAAAGTCACTATTCAATAAAGAAGAAAAATGGCCAAGTACTGCAGAAAAAAATATCAAGGTAGAGGATGGCTTTAGGCCATACAAATAAAAGAATTCTAAATGAATTTGAGTTAAATGAAAAATAATAACAATAATTCTCAACTAAAACCCATGCTACACTACAATAGAGGTGAATATTTCACTAATATCAGGGTGAGGAAAGACTTTCTAGTCATGAGGGAAGATTAACAGGTTTGACTGCACAAAAGTTGAAAACTTGTTATTTAAAAAAAAATCAGTAAAAATAAATTAACTCCCCAAAAAGAAATAGAAAGGGACACAGAAAGCTACAATTTAGAAAAGAAATGTAATTAGTTGTAAGCATTAAAAGATGTTTAACTTCACTGATAATAAAAAATGTAAATTAAAACTATGAAATATCATTTTGTCATACAACAAAAGGACATTTTCAGCATTGGTGAGAAGGTAACAGGCATTCTCAAACTGCTGTTGGGAGGGGACAATGATATAACTCCTCCAGAAGCAATTTGGCAATACATGGCAATAGTCGTAAAATGTGTGTATTTGTTGATCCAGCAATTCTATTTCTAGGAGGCTAAACTAAGGTAATAATCAGCAATATAGAGAAAAAACTTTTGTACAAAGTTGGTCAGTGTAGCATTATTTATAATAGTGTTTTTAAAATATAGTAATACAGAAATGATTAAATTATGGAACATCTATAAAATGGAATTGTACATAGCCATTCAAAAATGTTTTAAAAATATTTAATAACATTGGAAATGCTCATGATATGCTATGAAGTGAAAAGAGCAAGATATAAAACTACATGCACAGTAGGATCCAATTTTTACCAAAAAAATGTAAAATATGCACAGTTGCATACAAAAGACTGGGAGGAAATACATAAAAATGTTGTCAGTGGTTATTTCTGGGTGGCAAGATGATAGGTATTTCTAATTTTTATCTTTATACTTTTGTGTACTTCCAAATGTGTGTGCCACAAACTTGTATTACATTTATAAACAGAATAAAAGAAACGGTGTGTAAGAATCAGTGCAAGAGGGCCAATGTCAGGGAGAATACAAATGACTGCTACTTGTCACTTACAGAGGAGTGTTACCCTCAGTGTCTTGGATGTTTGTGGATGCTTTGTAGTACAGAAGGATATGAATCATCTTCAAGTTACCCTTGGCTGCTGCCCGGTGCATTGCGGTAGCCTCATAATGGTCCTTAGAGTCTGGATTAGCCCCGCCTTCCAGTAACATGACAGTGATCTGCAAAGTCAGAGAAGCAAACAATGTAGAGATCTATTTGCGTTTGTGTCCAGGTTTAGAACTTAAAAGAAGTCTCCTAGGAATAAAACCCTACCTCGTGCCTGTTTCTGGAAGCTGCATAATGTAGGGGAGTACAGCCATTTTGATTGACAGCATTCACTTGGGCACCTCTTCCCAGAAGGGCTTTTACAATCTCATCCCGGCCAGCAGAAGCAGCAATATGAAGAGGAGACCAACCTGCCTGTAAAAGAGGTGGGCGGTAAAAAAAAACAGGGGGAAAAGGCACAGGGGTTAATGCTAACATTTAGGCAGGGTTTACAAAGAGCAGTGTGTGAATGATTAAAAAAAATAACATTCTTTTTTCCCCCCTCATTAAGCACTGCAGAAAATCTGGAAAGCAGATGTATACAAGAGAAAAGAAAAACCACCCATAATCCCATAACACGGAGACAATGATACGTAAGTCTAATTCTAATGTGTTTTCAAACTGGGATCGTAGGATATAAAGTTCTCTGAGTTGCATTTTCTACAATTTCTGCTTACCATTTTATGGTCGATTTTTCTGTCATTCTTTGGAATCTTAACTTTACTGGTTGCATATTATTTTATCATATGGATATACCTGCTGTGTCCAACTGTTTCTACGTTAAATTGTTTTTATTTCTTTGCTATTATAAGTATTACTGAAGTGAGCTTTCTTGAAAAGGAATCTTTGCCTAACAAAAAGTTTTCTTCCTTATTCTCCACAAGTCTTATCCTAATATAACAAATACTATTATAATAAATCTCTATATAACCAAAAAGATATCTAGACCTTCATTATTCAGGCAATATTCACCAAAAAATTCCAACATAGTAAAAAGGGTCTGTAGTCTCTTAGAGGTCACTGTAATAAGCCTTGATCTGCATTTTTACCTTAAATTACAGGGTATGAGTGGCAAAACTAGTACTTTAAAATCATGCAACCACTAGTCCTATGCTTGGTCACCAGGGCCATACTGTAACTTCCTGGACATAAAGGTCACAATTTTGTTTGTGAGCTTAATACTCAGGCGTCAGTAAACACCAGTCTGGAGTCTAAAGATAACTGGAAATTAATGAACTCTGCCTAGTACTCACATCATCTTTATCATTCACTGGCACTCCAAGCTGCAGCAAGAATTCAACAATTTCTGTATGTCCTGCTGAGCACGCCCAATGCAATGCAGTTCTGCTGTCCTACACGGGAAAGAGAGAGGCAATAAGATCAACATTTTTGAAGAGAAATAGAAGAACTAAGGCAAGAAAGCAGAACAAAATAATATTAGGGCCAGCAAACCTGCAATTTGGAAACAAGAAATGGAAAGCACTGGATCCTCAGGTAGGTAACCTTAAACCATATTATTACTAGTACAAGAGAGACCAAGGTTTTAGTAACATGGGGAAAATATATGGATGAATGTGATAATTCTGGGCAGAATACAGCCATGAAAGCAGCAGAGTAAGAAACTGATTTCAATGCTTTGGCAGAAAGAGAGCTTCGGCTGCTTACCATTGCATTAACATATGCTTTTATGTCAGGCACTGTGCTAGTTTTACATGCAACTCATTTAATCCCCACAATCTTGTACAGTGGATATTGTTCTCATTTTAGAGAGGAGGAAACTAAGACTCCTCAGGGTAAGCAACTTGTCCAAGGTCACACAGCTAGTAAATGGTGAAGCTGGGACACAAACCCTGTCTGATTCTGAAATTTCTAGATGCTCGAGAAAGAACATATACATCTTATGAGGAAGAAATATTAATAAAACTAGTTGACATCATCTATATATCCCTTTATAAAACACACCACATGCAGAATGAGAGAGTGACATTACTTTTTTAAAAAGTAAGCTAGGAATTAGTCGTATTTCTCCAAGGGGACCGATTTTTGCAGTGACTGCTATATTTCTTAGCCCTGTGTAAAAGAAAATGGTATTTTAAACTTTATTACAAAAAAAAAATTCAAACACATAAAAATAGAGGGAATATAACAGAAATCCATAAGCCTATCACCTAGATTCAATAAATAGTTTGCCGTTATTTGCTTCAACGAATTTTTTTTCTTGCTGAGGATTTTTTAAAACAAATCCTAAATATCATGACTTTTCATCTAAATATTTCAGTATCTAAAATATGATACTTTTCCACATAGCTATGGGACTGTTATTACAACTACTAAAATTAACACTAACTCTAAAAAAATAATAAACACTAACTCCTTTATAACATCTAATACCCAGTCTGTATTCAGATTTTGCCAACTGTCCCCCAAATGTCTTTTTGCAGTTGGCTTGTTTCAATTAGGATCTATATAAGGTCCATAAGTTGCATTTGGTTATGGTTTTTAAGTCTTTTGAACTTGAATAGCTCCCCCTTTTTATGCCATTGACTTAATGAAGAATGATTAATTATTTAATCTTACTTTAATATCATTAAGTTAAAGTGTTAAATATTGCCAGATCATAATGAAGAAACACTAGGCAAATGTAACGCCATTTTCAGGTTGAGCAATAAAGGAAAGTTCCAGAAAAAAGTCTCCTAACTTCTAATTATCTTCCCAAAGGCACAAAACGGAGATTTCTAAGTATGTGACACCATCTCACCAGTGCTTAGCACGGTGCCTGTCAAACAGGAGGTGATCTATAAATATTTGTTGGCTTAGGAAGGGCATCGTGAATCTTTCTAGAAACTCAGGATGAAAGCCACGAGGGTCCTTTGAGCAGGAGGGCAGGAAGAAACACTTCCCACAGTCCATTCGCTTTTGTTCCAGCTCTGCCTAAAATGTCATCCTCCAAGGAAGTCCCGCTCATCCTGCAAGGTCTAAGCTCCTTTGCAAAGCCTTTTCAATGGCAACATTTGGCTTTTCTAAGGGAGATTAAAGCAGGTCCTCGTTCTGAAAGCCCCACTTAAATTTATCTCCCGAGTTTTTTTTTAATCACAATTTGTAATCGGACATAAAACTCGGCGTGACTTTATTGTCTGCTTCTTCCACTCGGCTGTCTCCCCAACTCCTAGCAAACTGCCTGGCACAGGAGGGGCGCTGTTACACGTGTTTCACTGAATAAACTCACTTGTAAAAGTAAAGACACCCATTCAACAAACAAAACAAAAACTCTCCTCAGGGATAGCTCAAAGATTAGGCATTTCTGAGAAACGCAGTACACATTCTACAAAAGGCCAAAATTCAGTAAGCTAAGTACTGGGCCAAAGAAACTTTTTTTGAGGTTTGCGGGGCTACCTCCTGCCGCCCATTTCCCAGTCCCGACGCGATCCCGGGGGCGGCGGGGGCGGGGACCTGGCCCTCAGGGAAACGGCCTCCGCTTGGGCCGCGCTAGGCAGCCACGTTGGGCTACGTAGCCGCCGCCGCCTGCGGAGAAGCTCCAGCGCTGCTTTACCTGGTCAGTTCTAGTAGCCAGGGATTTATCCGCCAGGATCCTTTCCTTCAACTCCTCCAGGTTCCCGCTGTAGGCCAGATTGCAGACCATTAGGTTAGACACACAACCCTCCATTTCGCTTTCCCAGGCTCTCCGTGCAGCAAGACCGTGGACCGCCTCACGTCGCCGGCTCCGACTGCCAATCAAAAGTGCCGCTAGAGCTCCACCAATCACCGATTTTCCTCGTTCCTTTGCAGGGCGCCTCTGGGAGTTGCAGTTTGAGCTCAGTTCCGGGCCGGGCCGTGCCTTTGCCGCTCTCATCCGCTCGGCCCCTAGCAGCGCGGAACTACAAGTTCCAGGGTCTCTCGCGGCCACCGTAGTCAAGTGGCCGGTGGAATTGGCCCAGGATGACAGCTGGAGAATGGAGTCAGGTACTGGGAGCGGCTTCGTGTGGAACCGGGGTGGGTGGTCGTTGTGGGGCATTGAGTCGGCCACGCGAAACAGGCGGGGAGTAATGGCAGGAGAGTTATGGGACCCTAAAGGTCCTGTCCCGCAGGGGCCCTGACCTGCAGTGGGAGGCGGAAGGGACAACAGTAGGAGCTGAGTATTACCTCCTGTGTCCGTACTGGTGGTGGCTGTGGCTACCCTCCCCCTTCCCTGCCGCCGCCACAGGAGTGGAAAGAAGTAGGGGTTAATTATTCTGACATCTCGGCGGAGAGGCATCGGGGCAGAATTCTGTCACAGCAGTGACAGCATATGACACCATAGTAAGGTGATGTGCCAGGGTGATGCCAAAGGCAGGGTGTGATGCCATGGAAGCCACTCGATATCTAAGAGACCTCGGTGAGGCCATGGCCTGGTGGCATCACAACTTGATGAGGGTAATCTTGATACTGTGGTATGTATGGTGTTGGCCCTTTAATATCTCGGTAATAACGATGACATCAGGCTTTGCTAGAACTATTAAGCTAATAGTATTTGTATTTATGGAAATCCCAAATAGTGCCATAGCAGAAGAGATGCAAGGCTGGCTTATTCTTTATAGGGCATATCCATAAGGGCAGTATGCCAAAACTAGCTAATGATAAGAATACACTCAAGAAAGAGACCGATTATATTTATTTTGTTATGGTGTAGAACAGGGCTTAGCACACTTACTGTAAACAGCCAGATAGTAAATATTATAGGCTTTGTGGGCCAAAAGGCAAAATCCAGGATGATTTGTAGCTTTTTATATGACAAGAGAGAAATAATGTCAACAAATGTTTATTGATGAAATGCAAAATATAATAACAATAGATAATTTTTTTCTAATAGGACTACTAATGCGAATAATGGAATTCTTTTTTGGGGGCTAACATTTTAGTTAATCGAGGCTCACAGTCAGTGTTCCCTCTCATCAAAATTGTTCCAAATATTCATCTGTTAATGCTGATCTGTAGTGATATTTTACCTATTTAATCTTTGTAAATGTCTTTTCACATATATTGGGACTGCCAAATACTGATATCAATCCACAAACATTTTCTTGTCAATTTTTATCTAAATACATTTTTTATTTCAGGATAGTTTTAGATATGTAGAAAAGTTACAAAGATAGTGCAGAGTTCTTGTGTACCCCTAACCCGGTTTCCCGTACTGTTCTTTTTCTATTTTAACACCTTTATTGAGATATATTTTACATATAAAATTCACCCATTTAAGGGTATAATTAAATGACTTTTAGTAACTTTACCGAGTGGTTCAGCCATCACCATAATCAGTTTTAGAAGGTTTCCAATCCCCTGATATGATCTCTCATGCTATGCCCAGCCCCAGGTGGCCACTACTCTACTTTATGTCTGTATAAATTTGCCCATTCTAGACATTTTATCTAAATGAAATTATACAGTATGTGGTCTTTTGTGCCTGGCTTCTTTCACTTGGTATAATATTTTTGAGTTTCATCCATACTGTGGCATGTATCAGTACTTCATTACTTTTTATTGCCAAATAGTATTCCATTTTATGGGTAAAACACATTTTGTCTGTCAGCTCACTAGTTGATAGACATGTAGGTTGTTTCCAATTTTTGGCTATTGTGAATAATGTTGCTAAGAACATTTGTGTGCAAATCTTCGTGTGGAATTTTTCATTTCTCTTTGATTTATACCTAAGGCTGGGATTACTGGATCATATGGCAAGTTTATGTTTAACTTTTTAAACTGCAAAACTGTTTTCCAAAGCAGCAGCACTATTTTGCATTTTCAACAGCAATGTATGAGGCTGTCTCTTTCTCCACATCCTCACCAACATTTTTTATCATCTATCTTTTTATTATAGCAATTCTAAATGTGTGTGAAATGATATCTCACTGTGGTGATCATTTGTATTTCCTTAATGACTAATGATGATGAGTATCTTTTTGTGTGCTTATTAGCTGTTCCTGCATCTTCTTCCGTGCAGTGTCTATTCAAATATGTTTTCAATTTCTAAATTGAGTTACTGTTTTTATTGTCTTTTTATTGAGTTGTAAGACTTATTTATGTATTCTGGATACAAGTCCCTGTGAGATATATGATATGGGGATGTTTTCTCCCAGTCTGTTGCTTGTCTTTTAATTTTCTTACTGGTGTCTTTTGAAATGCAAAAGTTTTAAATTTTGATGGGGTCCAGTTTATCACTTTTTCTTTTATGGACCATGCTTTTTTTGGTGTTATACACTTTTTACAAGTGTCTAATTTAATGATTACTAGTATATTTTGGAATTGTGTTACCGTCACCACAATCTTATTTAAAATATTTCCATCACCCCAGAAGGAAATCTCATGCCCATTTTCAGTCACTCCCTATTTCTACTCCCAGCCTTAAGCAACCACTAATCTATTTTCTATCTCTGTGGATTTTCATTTTCTGCACTTTCATATAAATAGAATGATACGACTTATGGTCTTTTGTATCTGGCTTCTTTCACTTAACGTATTATTTTTGAAGTTTATCCAAATTTTAGTATGTATCAGTACTTCATTCCGTTTTATGGCTGAATACTATTCCATTGTATGGCTAAGTCACATTTTACTTATCCATTCATCACTTGATGGGCATTTGGGTAGTTGCTACCTTTTATTTATTATGTATAATGCTGCTGTAAGCATTCATGTACAAGTTTCTGTGCAGACATATGTTTTCATTTCTCTTGGTACGTATGTAGGAGTGGAATTGCTGGGCCATATTGTAACTGTGTTTAACTTTGTGAGGAACGGCCAGATTTCCTACCAAAATGATTGTACCATGTTCCCCTTACAGCTGCAATGTATGAGAGTTGGAATTTCTCCACATCTCTACCAACACTTGCTAATGGTTATCTTTTTTATTATAGCTATGCTAGTGGATGTGAAGTGATATCTCATTCTGATTTTGTTGTGTTGACTTGTGACAACATGGGAAGTGTATAAAGCATCTTCTTACCACTTGTGATTCAAACAATGTTAGTTGTTGAAATGACTTTCCTATAGTATTAGATTCACATATAAGTGCTGTTTTGCCTTGTAATTTTAGGTTGAATTAATTAAGAAACATCAAGTCTGCAGCAAAAGGTAACTTCCAGAGCCACTCAGTGTTTGATAATAATAGTTGAGGGCAATTCTTCCAACAGTTTAAAAATGTAAACTGTTTACCATAAAAAAACATAAAGTAGAGTTAATTTAGCCCACCAAACATGTAGTTTGCTCATGATTAGTGTAGAACAAAAGTGTCCTGTAGGTAATAGGTGTTCAATAAATATTTATCCAGGTGATTGCAGAGGTACAGCATGCTTGTTGTGTGGCATTCACGAAGAATTGGGTAGAGTAACGTTTCACCATAATATTATATCAAGGAATTACACTTGATGCTAGAAAGAGCTGGAAAAACAACTCCAAGTGCCTCCTACTGAGTGACTTGTTTGGGTAATCTTATAGACAGTGTATTGTACCTTTATTTTATTTGATTTGATGTGTCAGTTAACTTTCAATTCTGAGCCCCTTAAGGCCAAGGGTGAGGTACCCCTGGACATTTTGAAAGCTGCAAGACCAATAGATCTCTAAGGGAGAAGCCACTTCTCTTTTGTCTCTGGCCCATGGTATGGAGGAACAGTATGGTTGCTGTTTATCTGGCCAGAGCCAAAGGGGGGCCGTGTTAGAGACTGACTCCTTTGCTGCTCATAAGACTGAATGTTCTCTCTTGCCTTTTCTGCTGGTCATGTAGGCTCTAGGTCATAGAACTAGCTGAGTTCATCTTCTAGACTTAAAGAAAAAAATCTAAGAATGGCTAACATTTATAGATCACATGTGTCAGATATTGGACTTATCTCATTTAATCTTTCACAATAACCCTATGAGGTAGGTACTATTGTTCCCCAGTCCCCACCATTTAACAAATGAGAATACGGGTACAGAGAAGTGAAGTAACATGCCTAAGGTCACACAAGGTAGTTATAGTTGGAACTAAAATGGAAATGCAGGACTATTCTCCCGCAAAGCTCTCCCATTTAACTACTACAGCACACTGCTCAATATTGCCGAAGAAATTGTGTGGAAATGCAAAGGTCAGGTAATGCCATACTAATTCCTGTCAGAGTTCTTTGGGCTGTAGTCCTACCTATGATTGTGGGGAAATGATATGTTTTTCATGTTCTAGAAGCAACACTATCCAATAGAATTTTGGGTGATGATGGAAAAGTTCTATATCTATGCTATTCTAGTGTGTTAACCACCAGTGAGCACTTGAAATGTGTCTAGGAACTAAAGTTTTAATTGTATTTAATTTTAGTTATTTTGCATTTAAATAGCTTCATGTGGCTAGTGGTTATCATTCTGGACAGTGCAGAGAGAGGCAATTTCCCCCCATTTGCACCTTTCTAATTATCACTAACTATTTTACCCAATGCAAATATTCTTTCCATTGTGCAACTGTAAATGAATATATCCTATGGTGAAACAAACTTGAGGACACCCCACACAGGGTATATGCAAGTCAGTTAACTATATGGTTAACCGTATGACAGTTAACTGTATGACAGTCACAGGAATAGGTTCTGGGTTATCCAGAATGAAACTTCTCCATTCCTACCGATTACTAGACAAAATTTGAAGAACTCTTCCCAAGACCCTTTGCAATTTTTTTATTGTTTGTAGATGTCATTTCTTTGTGTGACTTTTTGCAAGCACTTGAAAATTACCAGTTGCCTGGTTTAAGATGAGATGCTTTAATCTGTGGCTCTAATATTTTTTTAAGTAAATGTTTTGATCCTACAGATAAATGTCCTTGGCATTGCATATCACTGGCCTATACAAACCTTCTCCATTCAAAGGCTATCCCTTCATAAAACTGCCATATTGTTTTAAGCTATTATAATAAAACACTTTATTTACTTACTCCCTGGGTTTTAGTTTCCACGCTCTTGTTTCAGAGC